CACAGAACTTTGCACATATGTGCGGCAGTTCAAGTTGCCACACTCCATGTAGCACACAAAGGAAGAGAAGAAAGTAGGAGAAATGCATAATACAAACAGTAAACAGAGGTGTGAGACAGAGGATTAGTAATAACGAAGAACGAAACAGTTTCATTGGAAATCATAAGTCACAAGGTGTGGATGCATTTGCCCCACTGACAACGATTTTGAACCATGTAACCAATTGTTTCCAACCATTGGTTTTTACCGTCCCGAAGACCCTAACCAGGAAGTCTACATCTTTCTACGTGGATTAAAATAACTGTTGTAGATTTCCTTGACTGGTGCCATTTTTCGTTTGACAGCCGCTAGCTCTTTTCCAACTTGACCCTATGTCAGCTAACATTCCCCGTCGAGGAAGGCGATGACTAAGCATACGTAACACACGTCCTAACAATTTCAGTCGATGTAATTTCACAGTTTCGTCGACTGATTTCCCCTCCTTACCTAGCACTCGACGCCTAACCTCAATATTGCTTCAGTGGTACGCATCCATCACTAGGGTTCGTGGCAGGCACCTTCCGGTTACAAGGCGAGCTCGTGGACCATTAAACCACTGGGAGCTGATCCATTGGCCAGCACATGAATTCCAACTTCTGCCAATTCACGATATAGAGCGACCCCTAGCCCAAGTAACTACCCAACTAAATACAGCCAGTCACTAGTGAGCGTCAGATTGATATTCAGGTGTTGGTTTACAGGGAGTTGTTTCGTTTCAGGATTTCATCATGAGCTGAAAACCATCTGGGAGTACTGGACAGCTGTTTTGTTCTAGTTTGTACCAAAAGTGTACTCCGACACTTATTCCCTGACTTTATAACAAAGAGACATATAAATCTGATAAAAGAAAACTATTTACGTTAATTTCAGTATGATAATTTTTTAAGGTTTTCATTGTAACTAATAACGTGAAACACTACTGATTCATTTTTTGAGCTGTTCACATAAAAACCATGACTATGTTAACTAGGATTGTTTGTTCAAACTACTATTATTATTCACCAATAATGTGTACTGACTGGTTCATAATGAATTCGTCATAATTATCGTGAGGCCATATTCTTTTTTTTCTGGTTATAATTGTAATGGTGGCTAAAACTTAGACAGTCACATTACTACATACAGTACAAAATTCTAAGCACGTTTCGCTGCAAGTCATTGATATTATAACAAAACTTTCAGTCAACATTACGTCATTTGATAATGTCCGAAATATTGAAAAAAAAAAATTATGAAAAACGTAGAGATATTTGAAAGCCGTGTCCAAACTGTATGTGTATTCAGACTGCAGTAAAACAAAAAACAAAAACACTGGCACACTCACATGCGCGAGTGTTTAAAACAATCCTGATACACTACACTTAGTGGAATATTAGGTGTCAAAGTGATTATGGTATAGCCCATATTCAGTTTCGTTAATGCCATGAAGTTAATTATTAAGTGAAGTCAGAAGAAAAGAAAAATTAACAAAGTGGAAAATCAGTCACATGCTTTATCAAAAGATGACTAGACACCACACTTTGAAGATATTGGAGCGATAAAGTTTGAGAATTAAACTAATCTTTGATTGGAGACTAGTAACTAGTGTAATGTGTCTAGTCCTTTCTTTGGTGCAGACTGAATTCTATCAGTCAGGTTTGCAATGTTGCCACCATTCTAGGTAGCTCAACCACGTCAACCAGTCCTGCAGTCAGAGACGTTACCACTGAACAGCACTGGGTGACACGGGTTCGAATCTCAGAAGGGACATGCGTTCCTTCAAGGTTGCAGATACGCCTTGCTAACTGGCGAGTGCCAACTAACATGAAACCTAGGTCGAGCAAGGCTTCCTGTGGCCGATTGCCTCCAACTATCTGATATCATCTAATTAAACTAATCTGTCCACATGTAACTTCACTTGTGTTAAGTTTTTATCTCTCATCAAAATTTTCATAGTCACAATCTCAGCTAGATATCAACATGTATTTACTTAACTGTAAACAAATAAAAAGCGTGTTTCGCCTTATTCTGTCAATCAAAATCACGGTAGGGTTAAGTATTATATATTAACATAAAATAGTGGATCTTGTTTATGTTTTCTTGGAACATAAAAATATTTATGTGCAGAAAATTATGCAGCATATTAAAGGTAGTCGGCATAAATGAAAGCACTATTTAGCAGTATGTGTCCTTTACAAAAATATGCATTAATATTTTGCAGATTTCAAAGTAGAAATAAGGAACAAAATAAGAGCGGTGTTTTGTTACTTAATAAGACTTGTTTTATGGTGTAGAGTGAGCACACAGCTAACATATAAAAATTTCTGTTATTATATCTCTTTCAAGACCAAAATCAGTTATAGAGATCATTAAAAACCAGAAATC